GCATGCAAATAATATTCATTTAATCTGATGATTACAAGCAATTTTTACACAATCTAACCGCCCTGTTCGTCTAAGTAATATATTTCATTATAAAGTAAACGTTTTGAATAACTTAAGGTAACTTTATTATTGATACTTGAGAAGAAAAATTTAACATAGTGCTGTTGAGCTCTTCATACAAGCAAATGCGGCCCTATTGCCGCATTTACCATATAAATTGTAGCATTTAGATTTTTTTACAGGAATGAGAAATCAAAATTAACAAAATTAAAGCGGTATACGCTTATCAAATCTGAAGGAAACGATCTAAATGGATATGTCGAGGGTGGTAATCTCAAAGCAAACAACACGAATACAAAGAAATCAAAGAGATTATGAATATAAAAAAATTTTATTTTGAATGTTGCACTTTTATGTTATTTATATATTTTCGTTTATGTATACAATAATTTTATTTGTTATTGTTAAGCAGAATCAAATACCTTAATTACAGTCTTAAAAAGACAAAACAAGATATTATGCAAATGAAAATTGATTCAAAAGACTGAATTATACTTCAACGAGATACAATCTCTATAGATCCAAAGAAAACTAAATATAAAATCAATCTATTTATACAACAAATTTATATAGAATCGAATCTAGATGACAATGAAATGCCTAAAATACTTTTTTTTCAAATTTCCTTTTTGAAAATAAAAATAAAGAATAAATAAACATTTATTACCAAAGAGCTAAAAACAAATTTTTGCCTCAAGAAAAAGCACCTAAAACAAAGTCACATCATCCAATAAAAATGGAATACAAATGAAAAACATTACAAAATATCAGAAAATCGACCAACGAGCATAAAGCGATATGTAATGAGATCAGAGAAAGGAAATCATTTTTAAAAGGCATATAATTTTTAATTTGCAAGTTTAGAGATTTTATGAATATGCATAGAAACCAAATAACTGCATTATTTCACGTTTTTCTGTCCATTTGATTTACAATATTCTGTTATTTGTTTAATTTTTTATTAATTTAATAAAACCTTTAAGAATGGCAAAATAATTTAATAAATACATGCAATTAAATGGTAACTTTTAACTTTTTCAGCAAAAGCAAAATATTGAAAATCAAAAAACCCAATGGAGCGAAAGTATCTGCGTACTATGGAACCCATTGACCATTCTCATACCAAAATATATTGCAAGGATACGAATAAAATTCGGAAATATTTTTCAAAGTTTACTCAAATGACGTACAACAAAATGCAATGACGTCAATAATTCAAATCAATTCATTTAGAAACATTTATTTTATTAGAGTGATCTAAAGTATAAGAAACCCTCAAACGCAATAAATGAAAATGTAAACAAATATTTCAAACTTTTATTTTTATTGTTTGGTGAGTTACTATAAACTAAAGAGCTAAATAGCTTATTTATGATCCCCAACCGTTGTGAAGTTAGCAATCTATCTCACCAAAATCATCGCAATACATTACAAGGAGCAGCCCAAATTTTCTATAAATGTAAACCATTTTAATTGCATTTTGTTATGCATTCACAAATTGAGAGGAAAAGTTTGTCTTTATTAAAGTATACAACGGAAACTAGTGTTTGGATTTGAAAACATTTGTTGGTTATTTAATAATAGTGCTTCATGCTAGGGAAGTATGTGTGAGATATTTATACATCGTTGGAATACGTATTATTAGTTTTTATAACACTCAGCAAATAAAACAGTACAAATTAAATCAAAACCAAGGGTTTAACTTTCAGCACATTTCGAGGGTCTTTGAGTATGTACAAATATGTATTCGATTTTTTTGGTTGTTGCATAGAAACATTGGACATTGGATATTTAATGAACTAGAGAGCTTCCAATTGAGTATAGTTCTGAGTTTCCATTGATTACGTTTACATAAATATGCTGAAGACGTCAAAATACTGTTGTGCTTTTGTGTGAACAGAAACGATTCCGCCGCTTGTGGTCAGGGTCCAGTGTCGTTGTCTCAAGTCGGGATTAGGTGGTGTTCGCTAATGTCCTTGCATAAATGTCCTTAACGACGTTTGCCGAAGCGCAGGAAAACGTGATCGACATCCGTTCGCTTGTTGTAGTTCTTCAACAGGTCATCTGAGTTGGCCACCAAAGCTGGAGTAAAGATAAAAGTCGAGTAGTGTGCGGATATTGTGAAAGTCAAGACCTAATTCACTCACCGGATGCCTCGTTGTTGATGTAGGACTTAAGGGCCGATGTCAGTTGATCGGAGTTCTCCAGGGCCTGGCACACCTTCCGGATGTGCGGGGGCATCTCCTCGACGATGCCGGACTGGCACAGAGGTGGACCCTGGGCGGCGGCCCGTGTGTTGGACACGGCCAGGAGGACGATGGCCAGGCAGCAGGCGACAAAGAACTGAGCGAAGGACATGCTGCAAGTGGGTTATGAAACATTATGATTGACATCGGAAGCTGGTGTCGAGCTTATTTGATTATCGGCGGCAAAGGTTGCTCGGCAAGGACATCCTCGCTGGAGGGCGACTTGGCCATGCTCGGTGCCCTTCCAACCCCGCTGATTTTGATTAAGTGTAATGATCTTAATGCTACGTGCCTGATTGCCACTCGCTGATGATGGCGTTGCCCTGGCAAAGTATTATGCATAACTGGAGTTGTACTTGGCTTTCTGGCTCGCGGCGGTGTATCCATTTTAAATCGCATCCAAGCAGGCGACTTAATGCTGCCCTAATACGTTTACGCGACAGACAATTTGTTTCTATTAGCTGAAAATGGTGCAGGCTAAGGCAATTTGTTCTGCGTCAACGCCTCTGGCTGATGATTACGGTGGAAATGATGGAAATGGAAGTGGAATAGAATGGAGGCAGCACTCATACGCCCCGTGTTGCAGTCGACATGCAAACACCTGTGCGAACGTGTTGTCCCCACATCTGTTTAGCTTAGAACCCCAACAGCGGGAATCGGGAGTGAGGAGGAGGTGCCAATCGGGAGGTGCACATAGGGCACGTTCCAAGGATCCCAACTACTGATGCTTGCTTAGGGCTCAATCAAGGTGCACGTATGCAAATCAATTGCAAGGCCTGCTTACTAGCAGGACACCATCTATTGCGACTTAGTTGGAACGTCTCTCACTGCTGATCGATTGCTAGATTAAATATACCATTGCATAAAATCTTCCCCACATGATATAAAAGGTATAGTAATATTTTCAAAAAGTTTTACATATGCGCAATTCTACATTTCTTTCTATCTTATTACCCCAACCAGTTTTTTAATCATTCTCATATATTAAAGGCTTATTTCGAAAAAAAAATCTATCACAGCAAGTAGGTGATATTCATTGGACACCAGTTACGTTAATAATATATTTAAGTAAAAGCTCTTAAGTCCTCATGATAGTTCCATCTTTCTACTAATAAAAGCACTTTTTAGATTTGTTTAATCTCTCACACTTTCCAAGTGAAACCACAAGGATTCACTTTCTGCGTATGCAGCTGGTATTCCTCTTAAGTATCTAACACTCGGCACATCTCAAGACACAAGTACCCACCTGATGAGGGCTTTGAGTTATCGGTGCTTCCACAAAGGAGTGAATGTGCAAACTTGGTAGTGGTTATCACCGGGGTTCAGCTGCTGCTCTGTTTGCTGGACTTGTTGAACGCAAGCACTCGAATGATGTCCTGTCCAGCCAGGACATCCGCTTTTATTTACTTCCGCCGAGGACGAGCGCAGATGGCGCGGTGGCCTCTGATTGGCTGACGGGAATGTACAGGCAGGACTCGCGCAAAAATGGGGGACGGGGGACCACATGTTGCGCTCCTTGCAGGATACTTGGTGGGCGTGCTCAAACATCACTCATACGCCACCGACACCGACACCGACCAAAGCACGATGTGTGCACTTGGCAAACTTTCGACGGTAGCAGCGGAGGTGGGCATGGCAACGGGAACCCACCGAGTTTCCCAATGTGTTTATCTATTATATAACTTTATCAGCTCTTAATTATGTTGTAAAAGTTGTTGGCTTTATGATCAGTGGCCGGCAACCATCACCTATTTATGGGTAGTTATAATCATTTATGGCCACCGTCGAACATTGTCCCGTCCAACCCACGGATCTGCTTTAAGCCGCAACTTTAAAGCCGTTGTCCTGGCCACTGCATTTGGCTCCTCGGATGCGTAGCAGAGTAATCTTCGGTTTATGAGACTGGGATTTGCAGGCGAAGCGTTGCAATTAATTTGAATTTGTGCGTGTTTCGCCTGCCAAGTTCCCCGATAAGAATTTCGACTGTGACGTCAGGATGAGTATCTTGAAGTGGGATGACTCTGCTGCACACATAAACCGGGTTTGGAATGGAAAAATTCGAATTAAGCAAGATGGAAATCTAATTTGCTTTCCTTTTGTTACAGTCAGCGTGACTAAAGAAGTGGGGGAATGAAAATTGCTCATGAAATGCACCACTATGGTTACGAGTCTTATAAAAATATTAATTAAAAATAAAACACTGGTATATAAAACAAAAGAGAGAAAACTTAAAACTACTCATGTTGCTTATGATATTTTTTATTTATTTCCAAGATATTTGTGTTTTTACTAAAGGAAATTTAATGCTACGCTATATGTTATTGTTTTGCCTCTAGAAATACCCACGCAAAATGTATCTAATGTAATAAGATAGAATAGGATTTGATTACTCATGGATAATGCGTTCCATGTTGCCCACCACTAATTGGGTTATGGCTGGCTGCCATTTGCTGTCCATCTTTGATGTGGACACATTCTGGCCCAATAATGCAATGCCAGTGCCATATGCGAAATGGGGTGTAGGTTATTCGAAAAAAATCCACACTTGGCTGGCCCAACAATGTGTCGCGAAATTTGCACAAAATTTGAATAAACTGATTGAGTGTCAGTTGTACGCGAATAGTGCGTCGGTGCAGGGGGAATGGAAAGTGGAAAGTGGAAAATGGGCGAATGGGTCACCATGTAGACCATCGATTAACATTTAAATTATTTTCGCCACTTTGCGGCCTACGCACATGAACTGGGGAAAACCCCCAGCCAAACTGGCTTACATTTTATTTACTTCTTGGGAATCGTATCGTACAAGCTAAGGATTTGGTTGAGGGAACCAACCCCCTTCAGTCGAGCAACTTGGCCACAATCGGATCCGGTGCGGACATGGCGTAGCCCAGCTGATTCAAAGCCCTGCGAATCTCGATGAACACGCTGGCATCATCGATGGTCGCCGGCAGGATGACGCGCTCGTTCCGGGCAAAGTCCGCCATCGCCTTGCGCATCGTCTTACCGGAACGAGTGCGTGGCAGGTTGTTGACGGACGTGACCAGCCGGAAGGCGGCAATGGGCCCAACCACGTCGCGGATCAGCTTGATGATCTCCGTCGACAGCTTGGCATCGGTCTTCTGGCAGTTCTCCACCGGAATGTACAGGCACAGTGGCACCTGACCCTTGGTGGCCTCGGGCACCCCGAAAACGGCCACGTCCACCACGTCCGGATGCCGGAGCACGGCGTCTTCCAGGCTGGAGGTAGACAAGCGATGACCAGCCACATTGATCACATCATCGTCGCGCGCTGTCACGAAGATATAGCCACGTTCGTCCTTGTAGCCCGCATCCATTGTATCGTAGTAGCCCTAAGTTTAAGATAATATAAAGTATATTTCGGATGTTAGATATGAACCAATCCTTCCTACTTCCTACTAGCTAAAGGATACCTTAATACTTGAGGGGGTTTCTTTTGACGACTCACCGGAAACTTTTGAAAGTAGAGCTTGCGGAAGAGTTCTTCGTTCTTGTAGAGAGTGGCCATGTTTCCGGGTGGCAGTGGTAGCTTCAGAGCAATCCTGCCCAGCTCCGAGGTCTGCGCCTCACTGCCGTCCGGTTTTAGGATTTTGACTGCAAGAGAGATGTCCCAGGACTTAAGTCCTCACTCAGCCAAGCTATCTGGAGCATCACTCACCGTCGTAGCCCATGAGGGGCAGGCCCGTGGAGTAGGTGGGCGGACTGAGGTTCTGCTGGAAGCCCAGGCAGGTGGCGGTCACCGCGGAACCCGTCTCCGTCTGCCACCAGTGGTTGAGCACAGGCACCTTGAAGGTCTTCTCGATCCAGGACTTGGTCTCGTAGTCACAGTGCTCGCCGGCAATGAAGATGGCGCGCAGCGACTTCATGGAGTACTGCCGTCCATAGCTGATGTCCGGATCAGCACGACGGATGACCCGGAAGGATGTGGGCACCGAGAAGATCGAGCGCACCTGGTATTGGTCGATGATCCTGCAAAGGGCTCCATTAATAAGTGTAAGCAACCACTTCCAGCATTAACACTCACCTAAAGTACTGACCCGGATCGGGAGTACGGTCCGGTTTACCCTCGTACATGACACTGGTGGCTCCGAGGCAGAGGGGTCCGTAGCAGATGTAAGAGTGACCCACCACCCATCCCATATCGGAAGCCGCCCACCAGGTGTGGCCAGGACTGATGCCATAGAGAGTTCGCAGCGTATATACCAGGGCAACCAGGTGGCCTCCGATGGTGCGCAGTACTCCCTTGGGCTTGTCCGTCGTGCCGGAGGTATAGAGGATATACAGAGGATCGTTGGCCTCGATGGGCACACAGGCTATGGGTCGCTCGCCCTCCGACATCTTCTGAATATCCGACCAGAGCACATCGGTCAAAGGATCCAGATTGGTGGTATCTGGCGATACATTGTCCCGCCGGAAGATTATGTTCCGCTGCGGTGGTCGCCATCGCGACATCTTTATGGCTGAATGAAGGATGTCCAGGTAGGGCACCACCTTGCCCGGCTCCACGCCCACATTGGAGGCGATCACTAGCTTTGGCTCCACATGCTCGATACGCGAACAGAGTTCCCGGGCAGCGAAGCCACCGAAGACCACCGAGTGGATCGCACCCAGGCGCACAATTGCCAGCATGGCAATGATTGTCTCCGGGATGAGGGGCATGTAGATCACGACGCGATCACCCTTGACCACGCCCAGTTTGGCCAGGCCGCCGGCCAGCAGAACAATCTGGTCATACAGCTCCTGATAGGTGACCCGACGCACTGTGCCAGTCAAAGGACTGTCGTGGATTAGGGCCACATTGGAGCCGCGACCGGCCAGTATGTGGCGATCAATGGAATTGTAGCAGGCATTCAGATAGCCACCCGTATACCACTTGGTGAATGGCGGATTGCTGTTGTCCAGTACCTTCTCCCATGGCCGATCCCAGTCGAGCAGATTAGCCTGCTCCTCCCAAAAGGCAGCCGGATTCTGAACACTCTGCCGATAGGCCTTCAAGTAGAGGGGATCGTGCGCCGCCACCGGCATGCCGCATACAGATTCACCTGCGAAAAACGTGGAGCAGCAGGCGACCATTAGATGGAGGGGTTCATTGCTTTCTCTATTGGGTTAATCGCTGCTTTAAATGAGGCTACCAAACTAAATTACAAACCTTCCACTCAAGACCACATTGAATTTTAAATTTTCCAAATGTCGCGGTCACTCAACTGATTTCTACTCGTATTTACCCAACCTGGCACCCATGTACTGCCCACATGGGTGTGCGGCTCACCCAGACGCCGAGCATAATACACACGTCATGCCGTGGATATTGGACTCCAAAGGCTCCGTCTGAATAAGCTAATCGAATTCATTAATATTTAGTGCCTACAGTTTGGGAGCACAACTAAACTCTAATCACTTCAAAGTCGCATCGAAAGTTCATTATTTTAATTGGCGAGCAGTGGTGAAAACACTATGTTATCACTTTGAACTGTTGTGCATAGGATTGTTCCTATCTACCTCCAACGGAAAAGGTCCAAAGGAGTTATTAGTTGGCTGGACTTCACTTAGATGGTTTTTGGAAATTTTCAAAATATTAAGAATTCATTTAGTTCAAGGCACAACCAAACTTTCAATGGTTGACATCTTTGTTCAAAACACTTGTTTTGTTTTTTTAAGCTTTTTTCCATTAACTGATGTATTCAATACGCATTTAAAAATATATGTGCCGAGCTCCGCAAGAATCACGCGATTACTCATGGAATAACTTTACAGCCTTTCATTTGAATCTTGAAACCTTTTTCGACTTACTGCCTTCGTAGTTCACTGCACTTGGACCGGGTTCCATTGTAGTTTTCTTAACTTCCGTTTTTATATATATTCAATACAAGCTTATATATTTATTTATTATATATATTCTTTTTGAATTTTCGAATCAGCGAGCTCAGCACAACCGTCGCACTGTAGTCGAAACTTTGCAATGGATCTGGAGAATGTAGAACGCAAGTTGAAAACCAAAACCTTAATGAAACACCCGATCAAAGGTATGCTTTCGAAATTCTCCGAGATTGGGAGAGTCGGAACGGTGGAAAAGGTTTATGAAACGGGCGAAATTTAAAAACCTTACATTTTATTTATACGAAATGATTGTAGTTACACATCTTCAGCGTAGTCGGGTTCCACTTAATCATAAATTCAAAGAATCATTTCTTTTTCTTATCCTTCTTGGTCTTTTTCGGAGGAGGTGGCGCAGCAACCGCTTGGCCTTCTGTTCCCTCGGTGGCCGTTTCCACGCTGAAGCCCTTGATGTACGGCTTGACCAGTCGGAAGATCAGCTTCTCGTGCTGCACATTGCTGGAATCCAGGCTTAGACGAACCGTGACAGGATCAAAGGAGTGGAACACCACGTCGCCGCAACGCTGCGTATAATCCTCTTCATTGAAGGTGAAGACAATCTCGCTCTTAACGCGCTCCAGACCGTCCTTGCCATCCTTGTCCGACTTCAGATACAGGGTGCCTTCCAGGCCATACTTGGGGATTAGCACTTGCAGAGCATTCTTGCGCACAAATAGCACGTATCTAAGAGTAGGTAGTATTTGAAGAGAAAGTTGGCCACCAGCGGTTTTCTTGACTCACCCTTCCTCGTCCTCCTCCTTGCCGCGGAAGAAGAGATGCGTGTTGAGGGCCACCGATGCGCGACCAGCGTACTGAGCCATTTTGTGGCGGTAGTTAAGATTGTGACACAGCTCCTCATTCGACTTGCGATCCAACAGCTGGGCATAGGTGCTATCCGCGCCTATTGAAGCAGCCAGCAAGCGATGTACCATGATGTCGGAATAACGACGGATGGGTGACGTAAAGTGCGTGTAGATGGGAGCAGCCAGGCCGTAGTGGAAGAACTCCTCCTTCTGCAGACTGCCGCTGATGAAGTACACCGCCTGCATCATGCAGCGTGTGGTGAGGATGCGGATCATTGTGTTAAAGTACGGGTTGTCCGCCTTGACACACTTGTCCAGTGAATGCGACAGCTCCAGTCCCGATTCGATGTCCACCTGGAATCCCTGGTAGCGCGCGGCCTTTACCAGCGGATCGAAATTTGTGGGCGGCGGCCGAGGATGGCGACGCAGAACTGCACACTCGGAGAACTCCGTCGCAATATGCTCGGCTACTGTGATGTTGGCCAGCAACATGAACTCCTCCACCATGGAATTGGTCTCGCGCATCTGCTTCACCTCCACCTCGAGTGGTTCGTGTGTCTCGCTGTCCACCTGGAAGCGGATCTCGGGCGAGGCGAGAACAAGAGCTCTGTAAGTTACGGGTTGCGTTAGTTCATTTGATTGCGCGCTGTTCAATATTAACTTACCCACTATCCATACGTCGCTTTTTCAGTATTTTGGCCAAGCGGTTAAGGTTTCTCAGGGACTTTGCTAATTCATTCTGTTGCGTGGCATCGTCGATGATAACCTGCGCTTCTTCGTAGGTCATGGCACGCTTAGATTTGATGACGCTCTTGTGGAAGCGTTTGCCTAACACATTTGCCTCGTTGTCCACTTCCCACACGCAGGAGAAGGCGAATCGCTCCACGCCGCCAACCAGTGAGCAGAGATTTGAGCTGAGTAGCTCGGGTACCATGTCGATTCTTTTGCCCACCAGGTATACCGTGGTTCCCCTGGCCGCTGCTTCCTTGTCCAATGCATTTCCTGGCCGGATAAAGTGACTCACGTCGGCGATGTGAACGCCCACTTCCAGGTTACCGTTGGGCAGTTCCCTGCAGTGCAAGGCATCATCGATATCCGTGCAGCCCGGGGGGTCCACAGAGCAAATGTACAGATCCCTCAGATCCACTCGTTTGGCGTAGTCCTCCTCAGTAATTTTCCAGGGCATTTTCGGCAAGAAGCTTAGTACTTCGTCCGAGAACTTGCAGTGCGGAACGTCGTGCTCCAGCAGGATAACCTCGTTCTCGGTGGCCATGTCCCCGAGTGGCCCCAGGGAGCGCACGAAGTGTCCATGTGGGTAGCGCGAGTTCCTCGGCCATGTGTCAATCGTCACGATGATGCGCTGGTTTTGCAGCTTAGCTGCCTGTCGTGTTTCGATGCGAATGCGAGGAATTTTCCGGTCGGCGGGCACAAAGATGTGCCGATTGGTATCCTCTATTAAACTAGGCTGCAGGATGCCACAATACTGGCGCCACTTGCGTCGCACAATACCGACAATTCGGCCTGTGGGTGTGCGCTCTGCGGATGAGGCAGAGGCACGCACCTGCTTCAACATGTCCTTTTCATCCTCGGCCCTTTCCTCGCTGGGCACTTCGTCGGCATAGACATTCTTCTCCTCCAGTACAATTTCACTGGGCGCCGACCACTCCACCTCGGGCAAAAGCTCCACGGCCACCAGGTCACCATCCACCGCCCTATTAAGAGATTCGCGGCCTTGGATAAGGATCTATTAAACAGGGATACGCGGTTGTGTTAATCGTACGTCAAGGGTGGTATTTCACTAATTTAACTTACACCCTTTTCGAATTTCTCTACACTGACGCTGCCCTCCAAGTAGTTCTCCCTCGATGCCTGAAAAGCGCCCTGTAGTAGCTTATTTTGGCGCAGTCCTTCCAGCAGTTCCTTCATGCTGAGATGCGGCGGGTACTGGGGCAGACCCTTCTTCTCGTTCTCAAATGTTTTGTGCGACAGCTTGTCCATCAGAAGTGGGAAATCCTCGAGAGATTTAACGTACTCTGCGGCTGAGGTCACCAGAATACCTTCTTCCTCTGCCTTAGCGCGGTTTCCAGCATCATCTGTGAGCAGGATAACCCGCGTAGCAGCTCTGCCACTGCGCTCAAACTCTTTGGAGGATTGCGAGGCCTTCAGGTGGTCATCGTACCACTTGGTGGCCACACGAATGGCCCGATCATTGCGATCATTGGCGGTCTCATCTGGTTCGCGATCAGCATAGGTGTCCCTGCAAGAAACACGATTACAAAATAGCCTCCCATTGAAAATCCATCCACCTACTTGTGGTGCTCGTTGACGAACACATAGAAGTTCCTTCTGCGGTCGTGGACGATCTCATTGAACCGCTTGTAAATGGAGGAGCTCTTGTGCTTCACCTCGTTAAGCACGGTGGTAAGGACGACTACGTTGCGCAACACATCCTCCTCCAGCACGTCGATCTGGTCCAGAACCACATTCGTGTCCAAAACGAGGTAGTGCGGGAACTTGAAGAGGGTGCTCTGATTCGCGTGCTGCGCGGTCAGCTGGTAGACCTCGTTTTGGAAGCACTCCCGGCACAGCTCGGAGCCACAGCCGATGTCGTCGCGCAGATAGTGCTCCCGCACGATCTTCAGGATGTTGCCGCTTTTGGTTTTACGCGTAAATTCGCGTAATGTTTGCATTTTGTTTAGCCGCGTTCGAATTGTTGCACCTCCACATGTGTGCCGGAATGGGGAGGCCCGTGCACGACTCGACCGCGGTATTAAGGTCTGTTCACACTGCAGACGCAGTGGCCGGCCCAACTGGTTTGAGTCCGCGATCAACTGTAGATTCCACCATATCTTAGGTCTAAATTAGTGCCATTTGTCGAACTGATTTTCTATATCGGCGCTTAGCACGTGTAGAACGCACGTTGCTGAAATTTTGTTATTTAAAACGCTAAATTACACAGCTCACCGATGGTGCCGAACGAGAAAAGCTTCCCCCGTGGCGGGACAATCCACACCGAGGCCAAGGCCGCCGACATCAGCTCGAATATCGTGAGTTTGCCCAGTGAATTCTTCGAGATCTCTGTACATACTTTTATGTCCCACAGGTTTTTGGTGCCTCGCAGAAGAAGGTGAAAAAGGCTCCGAAAGTGAAAGACAACTTCCTGAGCGACGAAACCGAGGAACAAAATGGCCAACTGGAGGCCTTCTCTGCGGAAACGCTCAATATGGACACGCTGCAGGAGGACATGTTGGTCATGGGGGTGGTCAAGGAGGCGACAGCCACCGCGCTGCAGATTGCCTTGCCCGGCCGGATGTTCGCGCGCACCATGGTGGCGGATATATCAGAGGCCTACACTCGCGTGGCCAAGGCGGCCATGTCCGGAGACACCAGCGAGTACCACGACCTAACCGAGCTTTTCCAGGTGGGTCGCATCGTCTACGGCAAGGCCATCAAAACAGAGATGCTGGGCACCGGACGGGTTAGCCTGCTACTCTCCCTCAAGCCGGCCGATGTGCATGGAAGTCTGCATCACAAGAGCATTAAGAAGGGATTCATCTTCTCTGGCGCCGTAGCGGAGATCCAGGAGCACGGCTATGTCATCGAGTCGGGAGTTCAAGGACTGCAGGCATTCGTGCCCTGCGAGGAGCCAGCACAGAAGCTACACGTGGGGCAGCTGGCTTTCCTGAAAGTCAAAAACGTTCACCACGACACCCACCAAAGCACCTGCACCTGTGTCCAGGTGGAGCAGGACCAGCTGCGCATCAAGAGCCAAAACGAGACGAATCTCGACTACATTCTGCCAGGCAGCATTGTGAAGTTTAAGGTGGCCAAGCATCTAAAGGATGGCCTCAAAGGCAGCATCATGAACGAATCCTTTAGTGCATACATCAATGAGCATCACCTGACTAACGCTTTGGATACTTTGGATGCCTACGAGCTGAATGAGGATTACAACGCCAGGGTGCTTTACGTGATGCCCCTAACAAAACTGGTGTACTTAACTCTTAATCTAGATATGAAAACTGGAGTGGCAGCAGAAAAAGATCAGAATGAGGAGGAGCAAGAGGAAGAGCCCCTCAAGGTGGGTACTGTGGTGGAGAAAGCCAAAGTCCTGCGCCTGGGCAGCGGTGGAGTGGTGCTGCTTCTTAACAAGAAACTGAAGGGCATTATATCCTATGGTTCCATTAGGGCCAACTTCAAAGGAAACTATGACAAGGACGAAGTGTTGTCCAAATACGGAAGAAAAACGAAGCATAAGGTTCGCATCCTAGGATACGATATCATAGAATCCTTGTACTACTGCTCCGATGATCCCAACGTGGTCAGCGAAAAACTGTACTGTCTGGAGGACATTACCGCTGGCGACCTGGTCACAGCGAAGATATTCAAGAGGGACGACAAGATCAAGGGATGGTCGGTGAAGATTGGCAAGGTCAACGGAATACTGGAACAGTTCTATCTGGCACCCAATGTCCGCTACGATGTGGGTCAGTCGCTGAAGTGTCGCGTCCTGGAAGTTAATGCCGAGCGAAAGATCTGCTACGTGAGCAATCGTAGCGAGTATTTGGGCAAGGGAATAAAATTTCTGACTGATATTGCGTCCGCTCACGTTGGAAACGTCTATATGGGCACCGTGGTCCGATGTGAGGACAATTATGTACTTGTCAAGTTTGGCAATGGCATTAAAGGAGTCTTGCACAGGCAGAATCTAAAAGAAAGTAACTCCTTCTTTGAGGGACAGACAGCCAAATTCCGCATTCTGACCCGCAACAAGGACCAAATCACTTTGACTCTGCCGGAGGACAAGTTCCAGCTAGGTGAGATCTGTCCCGTTGAGATAACCAATGCCTTGGATGCTGGTCTGGAAGTTAAAATCACCTACGCTGCCGACGATGACGAAGAGGATGAAGACGGGAATCCCAAGCTGGAGGAGTTCATGGGCCTAATACCACTGCGATTGTTGTCGGATCACATGGAACTGCTGCACGCCCAAATGCGTGTCCATCCCGCGGGCTCCTACACCGAAGCTGCCTGCATTATGCAGAACATCTTCAGCTTACGAGATGTCCCCTACTTCAGTGGCCAGCTCACCAAGGATTGGCAAACGGTTCAAGTGGGAGACATAATTCGCTCTTATGTAAAGCACGCCACGGAGCAGGTGGTGGACCTCATGGTGTGTGTTCGCAACTACAACAAACCGGTAAAGGTTCACGTTAAGATGCTTCGTCTGAATGCCGTGAAGAACGCGCCCGTGGAGCTAGTACCGGAGCAGCTACTTTTGGTGAAGGTTCTCAGCAAGGAGGTGGAAACTAAGACGCTAACAGTGTCAGCCAAGCTTACGGATGTCTGGACCGGAGATCTTAGTGATACTGCAAAACTGGTCGAAGGGTATGATCTTCAAAACATGATCTTATTGAGTTCATAATTAACTTTTTCTCCGAATTTCATTACAGCTATTTGAACGAAGTGGCGCAAATTAAGACAGCCCTTGAGGAAGCCTCTGCACCTATTTCAAAATACTCCGTTGGAGAGAAAATCAACGTGGTGTTCAAGGGCATCGACGCGACCTCCCATGACTGGGTCTACACAGTGGAGGGCAGTGCCAAGGTGTCCGCCCTGCTGCTCTCCAGTTTGGCTGGCACTGCCAAAGCTCCTGAGACGGGTAGCAAGCACGAGGCAGTTATTCTATGGGTCGACTACTCCAGCGATGTGCTACTCATTAGCAACAAGAAGCTGGACATTGCGCATATCTCACCAAGCGGAGAACTATCCACGAATCTGATCGGAAAGGCTGGCATGAAGGCCAAGGTGCTGCTGAAACTGGAGTCCGTAGCAGTGTGCTCGCTGAAGAAGGGCACAAACCCGTTAGTCATCTGCCCGATTCGGTTGCACCCCAACGATTTGGAAAACTCGGGAAGTGCCGAGCTGCGTCAAGGAGATTTCTGCAATATAGCCTTCATCCATGACAAGCTTCATATCGCAGTGCCTGAAACTGTTTGGCGCCTCTGGAGAGGAGTGAAGAGAACGGCGGACACACAGGCCGCTCCTGTAAAAGCCAAGAAGTCAAAAGTAGAAGAGCCACCCAAGCAGAAAAAGGCTACAATTGAGGAGACTTCTGCTAAGAAGAAAATCAAAGCGGAAACTAAAACGAAAGTAAAAGCGGAAACTAAAACGGAAGCCAAAGCCACGCCCACCAAGCGAAAGACAGAAGAGGTAGAACAAATTACCAATGGCCAAAAGAAGACGCCACCCCTGACCAATGGCGTTGTGAAGGAGAAACCCAGGCAGAACGGAAAGCTCTTTTTTGAGGATAAAACCCCAGCCAAGAATGCCAAGTTCGAAACACCTAAAAGCAATGGAGAAGGCAAGTCGCGTTTGCCCGGTGTGTCTAGTTTCTGGGAGGACGATCTGAACCAATCCAAGGAAACTTCCAGCGATGAGGACGAGGAGCTGAATGCGGCGGAAACACAAAAAAATGCAGCCAAGAAGAAACGCCTCAGCGCCAAGGAGAAGGCCAAGGCGGAGGTCAAGGAAGAGCAGCGATTGCGGGAGATCGAGGAGCGTAATGCTGATCCCAAGGCACGTCTGGAGACAATCGACCAGTACGAGCGACTTGTGATTGCCCAGCCAAACAACAGCATATCCTGGCTGAAGTACATCGCATTTCTTTTGTCCAACACGGAGATTGAAAAGGCTCGTGACTTGGCTCGAAGAGCGATATCAACGATATCCTTCCGGGAAACACAGGAACTGAGAAACATGTGGAGCGCTTTACTGAACATGGAACTCGTCTACAGCGACAACTTCGATGATGTGCTCAAAGAAGCCCTCAACTGCAATGATCCTTTGGAGATCTACATTAGTGTTGTAGACATCTTAAAGAGGAACAAGAAAAAGGACCGACTGTCCTCCGTGCTGACCACAATCCTCAACAAGTTTAAAACGGAGCTCAGGGTGTGGCCAGTGGCCGCCGAGGCGTATTTCTGGCTGGGCAAGTCCGACCAAGTCCACAATCTGCTCCAGCGCGCATTGCGGGGTTTGCCAAATCAAGAGCGTAGGTTTAATTTACTTAAGTTAAAATGTAACTGGTTTTAATTTTTTACATCGTTGCAGACATTCCCTGCATTGTGTCCTTTGCCAAGCTGTATGCGAAGCACGATAACAATGACATGGCGCAGACGTTGCTCGATGATGTAGTCACTTCCTATCCCAAGCGGATCGACATCTGGTCGGTGTATGTGGACATGCTTATCAAGGCGGGTCTAATCGATTCCGCGAGGTGAGTATCACAGATATAGAAAATAATGTGGAAAGATGCCTAATTCACTGACCGATTTCATTTCAGAAACGTTTTGGAACGTGCCGTGTTGCAAAAACTAAAGCCAAACAAGATGCAAGTCATCTACAAAAAGTATCTGCAGCTCGAGGAGAACCATGGAACGGATGCAACGGTGGCCAAGGTCAAGCAGCAGGCCGAACAGTGGGTGAAGAACTACGCCAAGGCGGTCAAGTAGTTCCATCTTGCCCCCGCATTGTAGATTGTAAATTAGGATTAAGGCCAAAAGTTACATACAGTGTTTTTTCATGATACTTTATTCTAAAACTATTTTAAATGAAGTGTGATTCCGAGTGTTACCTTTAAATATATATGTATGATAGTACCTATATATTATAGAAATACATATAAAACGTTGCTTTGGCCGTGACCCCTACACATAGAATGTAGGACTCATGCCAATATTCAACTTAAGACTTGAACAATAATTGAACATATTCTGTGCCACGGTGTAAAATGGATATGGGTTAACACTTCACGTTCAGGGCTACTGATTTGACGGATCGAAGTGGGTTTGGTGTGGGACAATGACCGTAGCGGTGACACTGACATTACAATGAGAAGTGACGTGATTTACTCTTACATATTAATCAATAATAAGAAATAAGACGCTAGCAAATGTTACAATGGTTTGTTGATTTAGCAATTAGATTTAATTTATACATAAAACAGTCTGCGGTCACTCCTTGAAGATACCTCGCGCCTTGGCAGACGGCTTGCGCACCCTGCCTCTGCTGCTCACGTTCGCCCGCTGGTCATCCGAGTCCACCGAAGTACCCTCCTCGTCTTCCGCCTGGTCCCGCTCGGTGGAGGCCTCTGATCGCTCCTGGGAGCTGGCATGGGCATCACCATTGCGGATTCGTTTACTCCGATGGGAATAGCCTGCCGCCGCCTCTTCCTCCTCAGACTGCTCATTGTAGCGCGGTCTCTTCTGGTTACGCCCGGTGCGCTGGTTGCCACCCCGATTGGCACGACGACTGCGCGGCACAACATAGTCGTCATCGTCATCGTTGTCATTCGCGACTGAGTTGTTGGATGGCGGCCGCCGTGTGCGCCGCAGCGAACGCTCCTGCGTTGTCGCAGATGAGGAGGATGTTTTCGCCTTGCGCCTCGGGCGGCCATTGCTGGGCGAGACGTAGCTGGTCAGTGGCTGATTGTCTTCCGAGTCGGAGTCTTCATCCTCATCTTCGTAGCTCTGCGAGCTAGAGCCTCCATCAGTGCCCTCATCGGAGGCAGCTGCATTCTCTTCCTCATGATCCTCGTCGTGCGAATTTGCCTGACTGGCGCGACCACGCAGACTTCTTGTGACCACGTTGCTCGTACTGTTGCTGTTCGTGGTAGAGGTGGGCCGCCGGTGATTGGCTATGGCTGAGAGCAGACGCGAGTTTTCAAGGACATCCAGACTGCTATCCAACTCATCGGCGTTTCGTTGGTGGCGCGAAAGAATGCGCCGCGGTGCCCTCGATGAATTCACGTTGCCTAGGTAGTTGTGATCGTGGGTAGAAACCGCTGGCCGCTGTTCTGCCCGTGATGCTGCGGCCGAGGACGTTGTTGAGGTGGCATGAGAACGGGTCATATGGGTATTCCGTTCTGGCGGCGAGGCTAATCGACGGCGCAGGCTCAGCGGATGAGGGGCCGCTGTTGCGGTTGAGCTAGTTTTTGCAGGTGGTTGATAATTTTCTGCAGGAAAAAAGGGTTAGCCACCGTTTTATTGACACCAATTTAAACTTACTTTGCTGATTGTTGGCCAGCGGCTCGTTGTCACTGTCGTCGTCGTCATCGTCACTCTGGGCTGGACGAATGACGGTGTTCCGGTTCGTGCGCAGCTGACGGGATGGACCGGCAATGGCCTGAGCCATAGCTGCTCTACTGGTAGAGGGCACGTCATCCTTCGTAGGTGTTGGCAGTATCTAGAGGTTAAGAAAGGTATATTAGATAAGTTTGCTAAAAGTTACTTGGTGTGACGACTAACCTCCTCGGCTTCCTCACTGTCTTCTTCCTCTTCCTCCTCCTCCTCTTCTTCTATATCGCTGCCACGACCCCAGTCCATTAGCGCTCTCTTGGCGCTCTGGCGCGTGGGTCTGATAACAGGAGAGTCTGTATCGGACTCGATGATGCGACCGTTGCGCACAGGCAGGTGGTAACTGTGATCATTCTCGGCTCCAAGATGCGAAGAGGTTCTGCTTCCGTTGGCCCGGGTGTTCCGTGAAGGACTTTCTAGGCTGGAGTTGGAGGCAGCTGCGGCACTGGTACTCGGTCCATTGCCAATTGGTTGGGATCTGCTGCCTGCCGAACGGCCCTTTCGACGCCCTATCTGGCTATCCTGGGTGCTCTCATCGTGCTGTGATTGAGAAGCCGCCTCTTCTGCGGAACTGCCCACCATGCGACGTGTCCGACGTGGCAAACTGGGGCCAGGAGAAGCATTGGCTGGACTTTTGTTCAACCGCCGCCTCTTGCTGGAGTGGCCATTTGTCTGCCTGTTGCTGGACGGGCGTGTGGCACCTGGTCGTCGGCGGCTGCTGCGTCCCTCGTTGGGATTGTAGCTATCCTCGGAATCGTTGACATTGGAGTCATCGCTAAGCCGTTGCCGCTGCCTTGCCCTGCGCGTGCGTGTCTGCTGGGGCGAACTATCATTGGATTGGGCTCTTTCCTCTTCATCGCTGGTGGCATCGGACGTGGCTTGTGCACTGGTTTCCTCCTCCTCTTCCTCCTCGCTACTACTGCTTTTGATTCGACGCTGTTGGGCGGCGGATGAAGAAGTCACGCGGTTGGAGCCAGATGAACTAGCACTTACGGCCACACCGTTTCGCCGACGAGAGCGCCCTCTCGTCGATTCCTCTTCCTCCTCATCATCATCGTCGTCATCATCATCCTCTTCGTCCTCATCTTCACTGGAGTTTGCGACTGGTAATCTTCTGGCCGCCGCTGTTGGCTTTTGATTGCGGCGCGTAGATCGCACCTTTTGGGCTCGCTTATTGGGACTGCTGCTGGAACCACCGCGTCCTCCTCCACTGCTGCCCGACTTGTTTTTATTAGCGCGCCTACATGCCGCCTTCCAGCTAGTGACCACTGTCTTGATATGCGACTCAAATAGCGCACTGAGTCGCAAGGTCATGGAGTAAATCTGAAAAGAATTGGAAACATACGATCAATTAGAATTGGTTGCAAAACTGTTGAAAGGATTGCGTGGTAAAGAACGTTAGTACACAGGCTGGGAGATGAAAAACCTTACCGCTAGATTATCCTACATTAGATGATAGTCACGGAGATCGTCATTCATTTGGTTAGACATTATGTCAAAATGTTTTGATGGGTTACATATTTTTTAGATTGTTTTTGTTTTTTACATTTTTGATGGTCATGAGTTGGGGTGGTTAATTTGAAGATCGAGATTGAAGGCATGTTCACGGAAGGCAAAAGAAACGTAAAGAATAGATGGATGAGCTTGCATTTGTGTCTACGTGAGTGAGTATGGGATGGGGTCACAACTTAAACGACAAGGCAATAGCTGAGAAAGTGGGTGGATATCTCAGTCTTGGAATGCAATAAATGACGATCTGCAACCGATCTGCCAATCTGCTCTCCACTCACCCGTGAGCGCTTGTTGGTGTTGTAGTTCTTGGAGTTTTGGAAGATCAGTCGCACATCCTTGGCAAAGTCCAACGGATCGTCGTAGTTGCCGCCCAGCAGATCCTCCTTAACTGTGCGCAGATCCATAGGAGTAGCTATGATCTCCAGGTAGTCAGGGAAGTCGATGGTGTCAACGGGCTCGCGGAACGGCGCCGAATCTGTTCTCGCCCACATCAAATCAAGCAGTTGACGGCAGTCGGCACGCCAGTCCCCTTCCGAGTGAATTCGAGTGGATCTAAAGGAGATTGGGTTATAGGGCATTATTATGGGAACTGAAAAGGGTAGCTTATATATATATTCTCACCGCCTGGCTGAGGAAACTCTTTGCCTAGCTGCTGCTGCAGCTGCTGAAGTAGTTGGTCCTGTGCTGGTCGATGGTACTACATCCGAATCTACCTCGTTCTCCGACTCGGACGAATGGTACACATCTGCAAGCTGATGATAAACAGCAGCCACATCTATCTCATCCGGTTCCCTACAAGACGTATATTTATAAGAAGTCCTATTTTGGAGCTGTAATCCCTTTACTCACCTTATGATTCTCAAACAAAGATCTGTTACGATTCGCGCATGCTTGACGATAATGGCGTGCCGGCGATTGTACTGTTCCGCATTGGTAGCCAGGTAGCGCACATCGAACTGGGCTGAGGTTATTCGGCGGTAGAAGTGATTCTCAAAGCGAGACTTTATCGTGGTCAGATCGATGGGGTATTCGATCAGATAAGCGTAGTCCGGATATATGTTAAGGTCGACGGGGGCCAGGAAATGTTCCGCTATAGAGAGACGCATAACCTGTAAGAAAATCAATCAATAAATAAATAATACAATTTAGAATAATCAACGGCAATCCTTACCTGCTCCAAACCATTGATAATGCGCCTGCAGGTGCCATCGCGATCCCCTCTGTGCCATTCTTCGGACTTGGGCTGGTATAGAGTGGCGCGAATCTCCTCCGGCAGAACTGGAACAGCACCTCCCACCTCGTCCGGTACTCTTTGCTGGTCGATGGGTTCCATGTCCCAGGGACTCAGAAACTCGTATTCCCCGTTATCCCAGCGCACTCGGAAACACATGAAGGACGAGTCGGGGAAGTCAGCAGAGAGTGTGTGGCGCGATTCAATCTGGCCCATCCACCAGCCGTCGACAATCATACACCGAAACCGATCACCAATGCTCCAGTTGCGCTGTAATCCAAGATCATAGGCCTGGCGCAGCACCAAAAAGTCCAGAACGTCGGGCATATCGTGGTACTTGATCTTAAACCTTGTCCCCGTCATGTTGCCCTCTTCATCGATGATGGCCAACTTCAAGCAACACAGTCGGGGTGGGCGGATTTCGTACTTGATTCCGATCACACGCACCAGCTCGTGGTCGCGGAGTGTGTGAAAGTTCCACGGCTCCGAACTGTGCGAGACCTTATAGACCTTTTTCAGGCGAACTGCATCCAAGTACTTTGCATGTCCTTGCCGGAAGTACACCACCTCATCACCCATCTGGGGGGAATAGATTGCCTTTCGTGGAATCACCTCAGATAGCCACTCAGCTGGACGATACAGCTCCGGTATCTCTCCATTTGCATCTGTGGGCGGAAACAAAACGGTCTTGCGTCCAACTTTGCGGGCCGTAACCTGTCCGCCTCTGGATCTGCCCGCACGCTCATCATCGCTGCTGTCATCGCTACTGCGGGGTCGCCGTGAGAGTGGCTTACGCTTGGATCTTTTTGGTGGTTCCAGATTTGGGCCAGGAGTATCCGCCACCCAGTCAGAGTAATCGGAACTAATCGTTTCCGACTCATCGC